GCGGGCGCGGCCGTGGTGCCGCGGCCGCACGTTGAGGGGGGGGGGCGTTACGTCATACCCCCCCCGCCCCCCACCCCATCCCGGCATGACGCCCGTCATCGCCGATGAGAAAGGAACGCGGTTTTATGCGTGCGCAGTCGTCCATCAAACTTCAGCAGTTTTGCATGAATGCCTTGGGCACCATAGAGATTTCAAGATCGAGTTTCCGGAGACATATGACAACACAGTGGTTGTGCGTCGCGCGGTGTTAAGCATGTTTGTGTGCGTTCTTGCGAATACGTAACAAAAGCAATGATTTACCAACGTGTTCATCTAATGCGACCGAACGGGCCTCTCGTGCGCGCGCGTCGAAATCATTCGAACGCCTTTGCGCGCTGGGGGGGGGGGGGGAGGGCCACGAGTTGGCCGCAACGATGCGCCAACCGGGGCCGAGCAGCCATCGCAATCGCAGCCGAATTAGCTTCGCAAACCAAGAGGCGGGTGGGTGGACGAGGCGGCGGCGCGAGCGGCGGGGCGGGCAACTCACTGCGAAAGCAGCGGCGACGGGGCGGCGACTGCGACGACGGAGCCGCCAGGCCGACAGAGAGGCCCAGAAGACAGGCTGCGACGCGGCAGCGAGGGGGCGGCGACGGCGTTTGCATAGCCAGCAGACCGACCGGCAGGCCCAGACGACGGGCCGACCAACTTGGCCCGACTGGGAGAAGCCGCAGCAGACGTGCACTTCGGGGTTTCGGACTTCCGGATGCGCAGCGAGGCCCCGCCCCGATGACTTACGAGAACTTTGGTTTACCTGGTCGGCGACCAAGAGCGACCGCTGCCTGCTCACCGGCTCTCGGCCCGCGGCGGGCCACATGGCTCGCGCCGACCTCCGAGCGCCGGGGGGGCTACTCCACCGCTGCGGTTGGAGCGCGGCGCTTCACGACGTGGCCCAGGCTCGCAGCGAGAAGCCCATGATCTCCTCCGCGGGGTCTCCCGAAACCGCCGCGGCCGACGAGCGGCAGGTGGGGGATGCGACGCGGGCCGTGCAGAAGCTCAACAACCAGCTGGGGCATCATGCCCCTGGAGCCCTGGGGCCACCCAGGCTCGCCCACGCTAGCGACGGCCACCGCAGTGGGCATTGCGTCTCGCTGGCAGGCGCAGCGCTCAGGATCGCTGCCACAAACGAGGAGCCAGGCCTATTGGTGCCATCTAGTGTCTAGAGTCCGAGCGCGGGCCCCCCTGCTCATTGACGAGGGCAGTGGCAGGGCCCTCGCCGAGATGCGCAGCGCGGTCTCCTCGGGTGGCGACGCGGGGAACGCTGCCTCGGACGAGACTTGGGACTTCATAGTGAACGACCGGCGCAAGCACTTCGGCCGACCGCTCCAGATCCGCTCCGGCCCCAAGGGCAACTGCAGATCGCGCGACCTCCATGACCGCGCGGCCAGCATGGGCATCACCTGGGGCCCCGAGCCTGCCGAGGCACGCTGGAAGACAGGGCGCGTCGAGTCCTCGACTGGCATCATCACGGCTGCCGATGCGCGGATGGTTTTCCTGGACCAACCTGCTCCGCCGAGGAGATTATCAATTGGGCGGCGGCAGCCCGCCATGAGATGCCTGACCGAGACGTCGCGAGCCCGGACATGATCGCCCCAAGGCAGGCGATTCGCCCACTCGACAGCGAGCTGCACGGCGCGGCCCGCCAGCTGGAGGCCGAGGCCCGCGGCGGATCACCCGCAGAGGCGCGCGCGCGTCGGCGCGCGCAGGCTCGGCAGACCTACGCGGGAGCTCCGGCCGACAGGAAGCTTCGACTGGCCAGGATGGTTCGGCGCCATGCTCGCAAGATTTTCGATCGCGGCGAGCTGGTCTTCGCGCGGAGGGGGCCAGGGGCGAAATGCCGACCTGAAACCGCCGAGAGCTCCAAGGGAAGGCACATCGGGCATCTGCGAGACCCCGAAGTTGGACGGCATCGCGACGTGGCGCTGCTGGTCTGCCGCGGTCATGTCCTGAAGACCGCTCCGCAGCAGCTGAGGGCAGCCGTCGAGGCCGAGACCGCTTTCCACGAGATGGACGCCGACGCCCCGCGCTTTCTGTCGAGCAAGACCGAGGCAGCGATCGACAAGCTCCAACACATCCAGGACCTCGGCGGGCCAGGACCCCCAAGTGAGAGTGACCTCAACATGGGGGCCGAGCAGCGCGCGCGCCTCCATCGGTCCCCGAGCGCCCGCCAGAACCTGCGGGGGCCTTCGAGGCCGCCTCCATTGGGCCACCCGAGTCTCCTACAAACGCCGCGCCAGCTCTTTCCGACCTACCTGCTCAACCGGTGCCCCAAGTCATGAGCCTTTTGGGGGAGACGGAGCCAGAGGACCCCACAGGGGCGACCACGGCCTCCTCGCAGGAGTCTGCAGCACCGCAGGAGCAGCCTTCCCAGAGACCCACTTCGACCCCGCCGTCGCCCGCTTTGACATCGGGGGCCGGCGCGACCACTTGGACGACATCTCCACGTGCATCCGCCAGAGCTTGAAGGGTTTAAGCGGACCACCGATGACGTCGGGCCCGAGTTGCCGAAGGGCAAACAAGGGCCACCGGACCGGGCGCGAGTACTTCAGCGGGGGGATTGGGTCAGACAGCCCGGACAGTGCGCTGGCCAACGTGACCGACGACGCCTGCGTCTACGTGGCGCCCCTCGACCTCCCCGCGGACATGAAGAGGAAGAGTTGCAGGCGTTGCTTGAGGGGCCCTGCCGCGTGGGCCGCGGCCTCCTTACTGACCTTGCGCAAGAGCCCCGAGGTGAAGCTGCGCAACGTGGACGCAGGGCTTCGGGGGCGTTTCCGCGAGGCGATGGGGCGGGGGATTTCGAGCTGGCTGGCCAACAAGATCACCGAACGAGCCCTGCGCGAGACAGGCAAGCAACATATGAAGATGCGCTGGCGCCTGACCGTCAAGAGAGATTGCGCCGCGAAGGCCAGGATTGTGCTCTTGGGGTTCCAGGGCCATCGTCTTGGCACCGCGACCACAGCGAGTCCTGCGATATCCGCGCGCGGGCGGAACCTGGCCCTGCAGGCGTGCGCCAACCTCGAGCCCAGGCTCTTCAAAGGTGACCTGAAGGCAGCCTTCCTGCAGTCGCAGGCACCTCCCACATGTATCCTTGTGGGGCCCGCGAAGGAGCTCAGAGGGGCCATGGGCCTGATGGAGGACGTGGTGGTGATGCAGTTCAAGAGGGCCCACATTCTGCACGATGCCCCGAAGGAGTGGTTCGACGAGATCTTTTCCGAGACGTCGGCTGCAGGGTGGGTGGTCATGGCACTGGAGCCGCGCCTGTGGACCCTGTGCTACAATCAGAAGATCGCGGGCATTGCTATTGCCCGCGTGGACGACATGGCCATTGGCATCGACTCGAACTGTGCCCTCGCCACCCAGATGTTCAAGGAGCTCAGGGGCGATTAGAACTGGGGCCAGTGGGGGGCCGGCAAATTCATGCAGACAGGGGTCGAGATCGCCCAACTCGCCGATGGCACTATGCCACAGGCATTCCAGATGGCCGCCAATAAAGCTACCATGGTCGGGGGCTGGCAGGAGCCGCCCAACGGGCAGCTGGAGGGCGAGCTGCCACCCGCGGGCAAGACCGCCTGCCGAGCCGCGACTGACGGCCAACAGTACTTTGCCAGCCTAAGGATGGGTCTCATCTCAGCCGACACCAGCATCACAGCATCCTACTTGCACGAGGCGCCCTACGCCACTGTGCAAAACATCAACGAGATAGTTCGAGCCGCACACGAGGTGCCAGAGATCCTGATCGCCGACCGACTCTTGCATGATCTTCCGATCGTGATTTTTCAGGGCGCCGCTTGGGCGGCGCGACGAGACGGCAAATCCCGGGGCGTTTTCATCCTGGCCATGGCCGAGAGACGCATCCTGGAGGGAGAACGCTCTCCCACCTTCCCGTTGCTGATGGCATTCCAGAAGCGTCCGCGGACTATTCGTTCCAGTCTCGGCTGCGAAGTCCAGAGCGGCAGCTCCGTCGACCGGCGCCTCGCCTACCTGGAGATCATGAACGGACGAGTGGGCCCACGGGCCGTACCCACCGATCTGAAGAAGACGACGGCCACCATGGCCACGGATTGCAAGGGCCTGTCTGACGCCCTGGTGACCAACGTGAGTGCAGGTTTGGGAGCTGACGATCGTCGGAGTGGGATCGAGGTTCTGGGACTACGACAGAGCGTGGCTTCGAGCGGAACGACTATGCGGTGGATGTACACTGCCGCGATGCCTGCTGACGGTCTGACGAAAGGCAGTGCTGAGGCTTGGGCGGTGATGATCGACTGCCTGACCAGGGCCTGCTGGAGGCTGGTACATGATGACTCCTTCACGTCTGCCAAGAAACGGATGGCCGCTGGCCGCCACGACATCCTAGTCGACGGGGTGATCCGAGACTGCCAAACGATCCAGTACCGGGAAGACGAGACCGAGCCGATTCAGATCTGCAGCTGGGCGATGGAGGGGTTCGGCTACCACCCGTCGAGGAGGCAGGCGACCTCCCCGTGTGAAGCGCGCGGTGCCCCACAGCTTGTGTATTCCTACTCTCTGCTTTCGCCCTGCCCTCTCTCTTTCTCTGTCGCGCGCAGCCATTCGTACATCGAGCTACGGCCGTTCGTAAAAGGAACATTGCTAGGATAGATCAGCACCAACGAAACATCAGTAGATTGGGATCCCGGGGCTTCGGTTGTCGGACAGGCCGCGATGGCAGCCCGAGTGCGGCTCCGCGCCATGACGCTTTTCGTGCAGCAGGGGCCTTTTTGCGTGATCGTGGGGAACGGTGTGCGTGCGTTTCGGCCAGCGCGTCCCCGCAACGGCGGCCCTCGCTGGCGTGATTTGTCCTTCCTGGGCCTCCTGCAGGCTTCTCGCTGCCGCGGATGATCCGCCTCGGGAACCTGGTCCACATGGATCCAGGGAGTGCTCTGTGGACGGATTTTGGGGCGGATTTGGATCGGGCGCGGGGGCCGCCGTTTGCCGCACCACGGCAGGCGCATGACCGCGACGCCGGAGAACAAGAATTCCGACCTCGATGGGTTCGGGATCGTCACGCTCGCGTCCCTCGTCGGCGCCCCGGCGGCGCGTTCCTGGCAAGCCCGCTTCCCCCCAGCAGGCAGGACAGGGGCAGGAGTAGGCGCAGGAACCAGTTGCGGCATGCAGGTTTCCCTGTTGCCATCAGACGACAGTTCTAATTCAACAGGACCGCCCCTTCGCTGCGGAAGTGGCCGTTCTGCCTTACAGAGGACCGTGGGAACCCACCCGTCCCTGACGCGATCAACATATCATCGGCCTGTACGTGTTGGGGTGTTGCGGGGACCGCCGAGGGACCGAAACTGCTCTTCGGCAGCGCAGGGAAGAGGGGTAGGGAGAGCGCCTCGGGAGACGAGGAATCAGGGAGGCGAGAACACGAGAGGAGCGAGACCAGGAGCAGACGGGGCAGGAGCAGCAGCAGCAGCAGGAACAGCGGCAGGAGCAGCAGCAGGAGCGGCAGCAGCACAGGTGCTCTGGACCGGTGCGCGACCGCCTGTCTGCGCACTGGCCCGCCCCCGCTCGCGCAGCCCTGCGCGAGTGGCGCGCGCAGAAAGCTCCGCCGCCCTCCGCCAAGGAGGTGGCCAGGCGTGCCGCGAGGCGGGGGGCGACGAGGCCGCACGGCGCCCTCGGGGGCACAGATCGCGGGGCCGAAACGTGAACGTTCGGAGCTCCGCCCAAAGTTCTCGGATGGGGGGCCAAAAAATATACACCACCACCAGGCCCAGGAGGAAACCCCAGGAGGTCCCTAGGAGGCCCCAGCAGGCCCCAGGAGGCCCCCGCAACTCGGAGCTCTGAGACGCCGCGCTCGAGGTGGTCCGACGGCCCGTTTCGCCTGAGACTTCCTCGCAGCACGTTTCGCCCGAGACATCGTCGCAACTCTGGGGTCCGAGATGCCGCGCGCGAGGTGGTCCAGCCCGTTACGCTGGAGACATCCTCGCAACTCTGGGCTCCGAGATGCCGTTCGGGATGAAGAGGAGGTGGAGGAGGAGGAGGAGCAGGAGGAGGAGGAGGAGGAGGCATGTTCTAACATGCCATGCCAGCCCGCACTGGACGGGCACGCAATCGACCTTGGAAACCGCAGTGGGTTGAAAAAACCTGTTTGGGGATATTGCACTCCGGCTATACTAGTTCAAGGATGCCCCGCGCGGAACGTACCCGTGCGACCGCGCATCCGCGGGAATGCGCCCCGGAATCCAGTCCGCGAGGGCGCGGATACGGATAACATGTTCGCCGCCCGTGAGGAGCGAGCAGGAAGGTCAGCCACCCCTTGGACGCATTTCCAGTCCAGGCGCCGAAGCAAGGGCCGCCTGTGGCTGAGGGAGGGCTCATGTTTCTTGGCCTTGCTTCAGACACGGGCCGCTTCTGCTCCTGCTTCAGCTTTCTCCATGTTTCTGACAGCGGCACGATGGCTGTAGGCGGGTGGGGGCGCGAGAGCGGTTCGAGCCCTAGCCGTGGTGGTTGTTGGTAGAGCCCGTTAGCAGCCGAGGCGGGTGTGATATCAGCTCCAGTTGCTGTAGTGATGGAACTGGCCGCGAAACGGAGCAGTAGTGTTGGTTGTTGCCTCGGTGCCTTGTCTGACGGCGACAATGGTTCGTATTCAGGGCTGTCTTCCACCTCGAGCTCCAGGTCGATGGCGATGTAGTACCACGCCGCGGTCCTGAGCACGACGTTGCCAATGATCATCCGCGGCCAAACCTTGCCTTTGTGGCAGCTGTGTGCCCGTTCCGTCCGTCTCTTCCTCATCCTCTCCTTTCTCTTGTTCCTCCGCCTCCTCCTCTTCCTCACTCTCCCTCGTCATCCTCCTCGCCGGTGCTGTCTCTGTTCAATGGGCGGTTTGCCATTGCACTTCTAAGGCGGGTGACTCTGTAGCTTCTAGCAGAGCACAGCTATATTGGCATGAAGCGGTGTGCAGCAGACGCAGCATGGACTCCACGAGCTGTTTTTGGTATCTTGGCCTCCTTGTGCTTGTCTCCCCTCTCGCCCTCCTCTCCTTCCCCCCCCCTCTTTTGCAGCCTGCAAGATCCGTTTCGACCCGATCGATCCGAGTCGGTGTCGATTCCGGCTGGCCCGATCCGATTCGATTCTGACTTTCCGGCGATGCGATGCGGCCCGGTGCTTGCATGGCGCTGCTTGACGTCCAGGCGCAGCCCACCCGGTCCGCCTCCTCCGCCTCCTCCTCCGCCTCCTCCTCCTCCTCCTCCGCCTCCTCCGCCTCCTCCTCTGCCTCCTCCTCCTCCTCCTCCTCCTCCTCCTCCTCCTCCGCCTCCTCCTCCTCCTCCTCCGCCTCCTCTTCCTCCGACGCACGCGCGCCTCGCTCCGAGCCGAGCTCGCCGCCGCCGGCTCCCGGCCTCGGCTCGCCAGCGCGCCCCGCGCGCGGCGCCGAGGTCCCGGTGCTGACGGTGATGCTCTTCGGGATCCTGTGCAGCTTCTCGGACCGGGCGGCGGCGGCGCACGGCTCGCCGGGAGGCGCGGCCTCTCCGCCTCGCTCGCCTCGGGGCGGGGAGGCCCGCGCGTCCCGCTCCCAGGAACAGTGCGCGCGCTCCCCGTGCCGAGGCTCCTCGGGGCGTGCGCTGGCCCGGGGCTCCGAGGCGGGGTTGTGTCCACGTCCACCGCCCGGAGGGTGGGTTTTCGGAGCCTCGGCAGGCGGTGGACAGGGACACGTTACCAGCCTGGAACATTTCCCTATCCCTGTGCTGGGCACCTCCTTATCACGATCCCTAAGATTGTCATCGCCTTTTGGCGTGTCAATCTTAGGGATAGGGATACGTTCGAGGCTGGTAAACACGTTCGGGCCCCCAGGGGCCGGAATATGTCTATGAGCCATCGCCCGCTGGGGCACCAGGGCGTCGGTTCCCAGGCGGTGGATATGGATGAATCCCCGCCTCGCAAGGGTGCGCCTCTGTTTCGGAGGGGCGGAGCAGGCGAGGTCGGAGGATGGCGCCGCAGCGCCGATGCATCGGCGAGGCGGCTCGATCTGGAGCTCGATCTTCTCCACGCCGACGTCGCCGAGGCGTCGCCGACGCATCGCCGACGCATCGCCAATGCATCGGCGATGCATTGTCGATGCATCGCCGATGTATCGGCGATGCTGCGGGATCCTGCGACCCCATGTGCTTCGACCCCATCTGGGAGGCCTCGAAGAGGGGGGGACTTCTTGCCCCATCCTCCCCGCGGCGCGGCCGCTCTGTGGTTTTCGACCCGCTCTGGTGCGCCCAGTGGTCTGGCGCAGCTAGCAGGCTCTGCAGTCGCGCTCGCACCCGCCAGCGCGCTGCGAGCAAAAGTGTCTCACGGTAGGGATTTTGGTAGAGGAGTGTGCCCAGGAGGTTCCAGACCTTGGAGGTTTCCTTACCCGACGAGGCTGGCGGGAAAATCCGTGGCCAAGCCGCCGTCGGTGTTCTGCTGGCTTCCAGGCCCTGGACGCCTTATCGAGTGGGTCCCGCCAGCGAGGCACCAGTGACCTGTCAGCTCTCGAGTGTAGTGTACGTACTTATCACGTGCAGGTGAACATTTCACGAAGTGGTCCTCTATGCTGCCTAATGGAAAAATCATAGTTCCTTATCCGCTGCCCTCGTCGTGTCTCGTTCCGCTCCACCCGCAGCGCGCAGCCCGTGTCGGCCCTCGTAGCACCGCCTGCAGCGTTTTGGAGGGCTTCGGTGGTGAAGCACACGTTGGTGCTCAACAACTTTTCTGAGGATCGTCGACCCGTCCCACTCCCCCTCGGTCTCCTCGAGTCCCTTTCTCCTTCCCCCATGCCCCGCCCTCTCTGTCTGCCTCTCGTGGAGAGCTTGGCCTGAAGCTTGGCTCCAGCATCCCCCCCACCCCAGGCCACGCCCCAAGTCTACACCCCCAGCCCGGGGCCTTCTTGTCCGCGCGAAGATGTACAGATGGTCTCGTTTGGGTGCAGCTGATGACACTCGTGCGGAGTTGTTCTGGTGAGTTGTCTAGAATTCCGTCAGCGTGCGGAGTTGTTCTGGTAGATTTGTCTGGATGAAATTGTATGGGCCGATGTTGATGAATTTGTCACTGGGTGAAATGGTGAAGCGACAGCGCCGGAGGCATGGGCGCTGCCTTGGGGATGAACGGGGACCCGTGCAGCCCTAGTATTCGCGCTGCCATCTTCTAATCTGGGGGCGGGGGAAGAGAGGAGGAGGAGGGAGGGAGGGGGGGGAGGGGGGGGAGGGGGGGGGGGGAGGGGGGGGGGAGGGAGGGAGGGAGGGAGGGAGGAGGGAGGAGGGAGGAGGGAGGAGGGAGGGAGGGAGGGAGGGAGGAGGAGGAGGAGAAGGAGGAGGAGGAGGAGGAGAATAGGGAAGGCAGGAGGACAAGGAGGAGGAGGAGGATGAGGAGGAGGTGGAGGAGGAGGAGGAGGGGGAGGGGGAAGGAGAGGGAGGAGGGGGATGGGAGAAGGAAGAGCAGGATGGAGGAGGGGATGAAGAGGCGGGAGGAGAAGGAATGAAGTCGGCAAGAGGCAGTCAGCTAGGAGCCCCATGGCCTTCGCGCGGGTGGTTGGTGGGCGTCTCGCGGCAGGCAGCGTCTACGTTTCTTTGTGCGGTTGTTTGTTTCCCTTCCGACCGGCTCGTGCGCGCAAGTTGGATATAAATCGTGGCTTGCCAGCGCGGTCGGGCAAAGCATTCCCAGCGCGCCTATCTCAACATTTGCATCCCCGACTGCATCGTCTCCCTGGCTCCGTCTCTCATGATCGCGCGCGGCGTCGCCTGCATCTGTCTGCAGTGACGAGTGGCCCGAACCAGAAACCCTGAGTCCACAAGAGTTGGCATCAAGGGGTCATCCTGGCTTCTACGCGCGGACCCCTCCGCTGGCCTTCCACCACCTTCCGCCGAAGAAGCTGCATCGACCTCGAAGGCGGGGCCCCCTCTGGAGCGCCCCAAGTGGGCCGGGTTGGATATCCAGTGGCTGTGAGCCAGGAGCGCGGTGGGGCCCCGCCCCTCGACGGACGTCTTGGGACGCCGTGGCAGCACGGGTTAGGCGCCGAGGGACCCACCCAGATTTGCTCGCGTCGTGAACAAAATCACGACGAGAGTTGCTTTTTGGCAACCGTCGGTCTCTGGGGGTCCTTGACGTGCCCGGGACCGTCAACGACAGATTCAGAATGAGAACTTTGTCCCCGCTCTGAGCGCCCACGCTGCGAAAACTAACCTGGCGAAAGACCTGACCATGTGCACTTGTAGATGCCGTGCTGAGGCGCCGCTTTCAGTGGAGCTCCCCATGGGGCGAGGGGTGCGCCAAAATGGCGCTGCGCCGCCATGTGGACCCTGCCTCGGGGGCCTGCGGTGGAGCTCTCTATGGGGGCCACGAGCCGTGTGATGGGTGCGCCGAAATGGGGCGGCGCCGCCAGAAGGACCCTGCCAACGGAGCCTCCGGTGGAGCTCCCCTTGGGCCACGAACCGTGAGGGGTGCGCGACAAAGGGCGGTGCCGCCGTGCGGACTACGCCACGGGGTTCTTTGGCGGAGCTCCCTATGGGGCCACGAGCCGTATAAAAGGTGCGCCAAAATGGGGCGGTGCCGCCATGTGGACCCTGCCACGGGGGCCTTTGGTGGAGCTCCCTATGGGGCCACGAACCGTGTGAAGGGTGCGCCAAAATGGGGCGGCGCCGCCATGTGGACCCTGCCACGGGGGCCCGCAGTGGAGTTCCCTATCGGGCCACGAGCCGTAAGATGGGTACATCAAAATGGAGCGGCGCCGCCATGCGGACCCTGCCACGGGGGCCTTCGCTAGAGCTTCCCAATATGGGGCCGCGAACCGCGTGATGTGTGCGCCAAAATGGGCGGCGCCGCCATGTGGATCCTGCCACGGGGGCCTTCGGCGGAGCTCCCTTTGGGCCACGGACCGTGTGAGGGGTGCGACAAAATAGTGTGCCGCCGCCACGTGGACCCTGCTACTTGGACCTTCGGCTGAGCTGCATATGGGGCCACGAAGCGTTGCACAGGGTGCGCCGAAACACACATGCGGAGGGCAGAGGCAGGGATGGGAGAAGGGAGAAGGGGGAGGAAGGAGACGGGAGGAGAACGCGGGGCGTTGTCTGTTCAAAACGAGGGCCTACCACCACCGGATGGTTGGGGAAAAACGAGTAAGAGGTCTGGGCATAGATCTAGGATTCCCATATGGGGTCGGAGTAGATGGGGTCGGAAGATCGCGCCGCATCGCCGATGCATCGGCGATGCCGCTAGATGTGGAGCTCGGTTTTCTCCATCCTGGCCTCGCCGATGCACTGCCAGCGTCGCCGATGCATCGCCGATGCATCGGCGATGTGTCGGCGATGCGGCGAAATCCTCCGACCCCATCTACTCGGAACCCATTTGTGAGGCCTTTCTCTGAACCCTTGTGACCCTTGTGGACACGCTTGCCGTGGATCCATCGGCGGCGGAGCGCGGCTTGGGGAGAGAGCCCTCACCCCTTGCCACCCGTTGCCGCGCCCCCGCCGTGGCGATCGCGCTGCAGCTCACCGGAGGAGGGGGGCCAGCGTTGTGGGGGCATGTGTGCTCGAGTTCCCTGCCAGTGTGGCCCGAGCAGTCCCTGCACTGGTGCGCGAGATGCCACGAGACCGCCACGACCAACACACGGGACCTCATGCCGCCATGCTGAATGAAGTCCACCCAGAAAGGCACAGCGAGAATTCAGTTCCACCTCTTCCTCCACCCGAGCGGAGTTCCGAGCGTTGTCCTCCTCCGCCGCCCACGACGGAGTTCAGCATGGAAACATCGACAGACACCAATAAATGCAGATCTCCCTGGGAAATGTGAGAAAACCTTGGAAGTGGAGGGGAGCACGAAAACCTAGAAAATATGGAACGAGTTGGGGAACCCTGGGATCTGTGCATCTTTTGTGGGTTTCCCTTGCGGGCAATGTCTATATCCACATCCAGTGCGTCTTGGAGTTTCGGACTCTCTTCCCAAGAAACATGAGGCGCACTGGATATTCATCATAATCTGCCTCCAAAAGGCTAGATTTTTATCCATATCCAGTGCGCCTCGGCCTTGTGGCCCCCCTTCCAAGAAAGTCCAAAACGCAGTGGAGATGGATAGAACCATTGCCCGCATCCCTGGGCCCCTCTCAGGAGTATGGCGGCGGCCCCGGGCACGGGATCTTCTTCGATGCCCTGCCGTCTGAGACGACGCCCGCCAGGCAGGAGGGCTTCCACGAGCTCCTCGCGAGGCTCTCGAATGCCCACGACATGGAGATTCGTGGCACGGTGGAGCGGCTGGAGATGGAGAAGTCCGAGCTCGAGTGGCAGGCCGAGGTGCTGCGGTGCCAGTTGGCCAGGCAGCGCAAGAGGGTCACCACAGGGAGTGGCGGGGGGAGGCAAGCGACATCGAGGCCATCCGAGGCCAGCGCAGAGATGAGCGACGTCGATCAGCGCAAGGTGCTGACCGGCAGAGGCAAGAAGACCCAACTCGCAGACGGTTCCTTGGGGAACTGGGCGGCGTCGCCCTCAGAAGAGCACAACACCTTGGCGGCCAGGCCCAGCATGCTCAACATTCCAGACTGCGACGAGGCGCCGCCTCGCCACCGAGATCCCGCTGCCGACCTGGAGGGGGACGGAGAGGGCGCCACTGAGGACGAGAAGTCGCAGTATTCCGAGGAGGAGCGCTTCCCGCCGCGGTCGGAGTACATGAAGGAGCTGAGGGATGTGCTAAACAAGGATCAAACGTTCGCCCTCGACCATTTGACGCGCGCGCCATCGCGGCAGTTGTCGCGGATGTCGCACTTGGCGGCGAGTGTACCTCGCACGTTCCTCTACATCGCATCCCCCCGCAGTGCGACACGGACCGCATGGGAGGTTGCGGGCGCTATCTTTGTTTGCTGGGATTTGTTCGTTATTCCTTTGGCAGTCTTCTGTTATCCAATGAATGGATTGGCAATTGCGATGGAGTGGACCACGCTTCTTTACTGGACCCTCAACGTGCCGCAGACTCTCACTGTGGGCTACGAGGCGGGGCTGAAAACTGTGATGTCTCCTTCTTCAATTCTGATTCGATACCTGAAAGGCTGGTGCATCATCGACATGGTGGTGCTGGTGCCAGACTGGATCATTGCTGTGCTCGGCTTGGGAAGCAATACTGACCAGCATACTTCGTGCGACAGTGCTGTTGAGGGCACCGGGGCTGTCAAATTGCTCAGAAATTTACGCCTCATGCGCCTTGTTCGGCTCACGCGGATTACACGGTTGCAGAAGATGTGGCAGTTGGTGAAAGAAAGGATATGCAGTTGCTTGTGGCAAACCCCGCCAACATGTCAGCGCAGCATCGAAATGCATGCAGGTTAGTTCTACCAGGTTATTCTGACGATAATCGGTAGAACCATGGCCCTATGGGGATAGGACTGTGTTTATTCGGGCTCCTGGGGAGCCTCCCGCACGCACTTGGGCCGTCCTGACCGCGATGGTTATACGGAGTTCTTGTGAAGAGGCTCGGTAGAACGGGTCTTGGAAACGTCTTGGATTGCTGTTCTGGCGGATTGGGCAGTCTTGGGGGGTGGGTCGTCAGGCAGTCTTCGGACTCTCCCGAGAAGAAAAGCTTGCCATGCAATAAACACACAGTGTGTGATTGATCAGCGGGCTTTCTGTGCACCGATTCCGGGGCACATGCAAGTACTTCTCTGCCCCAGTCGAGGGTTTTCGTTTCGGGCTTGGCGGGTTGCGCGTGGTCGCTTGCTCTCGCCAGCCGGTAGCAGGAACATTGTGTTGGGAACGTTGTTTGGTGTTTCGCAAGTTCTTTGTCCGTCCTTTTCTAGCCCCCCCCCTTCGAACACGTGGGCTGACAAACAGGTTTCTTCAGGTTGTCCCAATGGTCAATGTTGGCTTCTTGGGTCGTGGTAACATCTTGGGCATCTGGGGTGGATCCTGGGCCGGTCACTGTGTATTTTATTTTGCAGCCATCCTGGAACGATCGCAGGCCGTTTCGGAGCCGTCAAGAGCGCTTCAGAGCAAAATGCAGGAGGGCGTCCTTGGGTGGGTTTATGTGTTGATCAGGGGCAACGCTACGGGGGATGGGCTCAGGGGGGATTCATCGACACCCAATCGCCACTTGATCGCCGATAGGTGCCTGATAGCCCACCCCGCCCAGGAACGTTCATATTCCCTGTCGGGAGATTATCGCCGATCGATCGGCGATGGATCGACGGTTCCAGGTCGATTTACCCCCTTGAGCCGATCCCCCCTTTCGTTGCCCCTCAGTTGAGGAGGTTTGCCGCGTGCGCCATTGAAAGCAAAGACGCTCTTCCAGTCAGCTAACGGGCAATCTAACACGGGCTCACGTGCGAGGGCACAGTGGCGGATATTCATTGACACTGAACATCGTGGCCAACATCTTCACGATGCTCTTGCTCTTGCTGATCCTTTGCCACTTCATTAGTTGCCTCTGGTACGCCATCAGCTATAACGCTGATGGCGACAAACGATGGTTGGTTCGCTACGGAATGGAGGGATTGAAGTGGAACTACTTGTACGCGACTTGTTTGCACTGGTCCCTGACGCAATTCACTCCAGCGCCCATCGATATTCAGCCGCAAAATATGTCCGAACGTGTCTTCACGATCTCTGTGGTGGTGTCCGCTTTGGTGGGCTTTTCTTACGTTGTCGGTAGCATCACGGGGAGCCTCGCGCAACTCCGGAGTCTCAAGGAGGAAGAGTCGAAGCAGTTCTGGGATTTGCGGGTGTATTTGAAGAAAAACGCTGTGGAGCACGTCTTGTCGGTTCGCGTTCAGCGCTACCTTCAGCACGTGTGGCGTCTTCAGTCTTCCAACAAGACTTACCAGCAGATCAAGCTTTTGTCAATGTTGTCGGAGCAGCTTGAAAACGAATTGCGTTTCCAACTTTACTCGAAACAATTGACCGTCCACCCACTTGTCGAAAAACTCTTGACGGTCTCGAAGGTGACTGCTTTCAGGGTGGCGAGAATGGCCGTTTCGACCAAGCATGTCGCAAAACATGACCCCGTCTTCATACACGGTGAAAAACCGAGCCATATGTACATTGTCATGGAGGGTCAGTTCAAGTATAAGCGCGTAACTTCCGAGGGCGAGGTCGTTCTTGAGGTGGTCGATAAGGGCGAGGATTGGATTGCGGAGCCTGTGCTGTGGTCGACGCATTGGTACCATTTGGGCGATTGCATCGCTTCGAATCAGAGCACCTTGATGTGTGTCAACCCCCAACACTTCTGCAAGGAAGCGCAACGCAACCCAACAGCCTGGATCTTGGTCACGACCTACTCCAAGAATTTCTTGAAATGGCTGAACTCTGTCGACCCTGACGATCTGTCTGATATCACCCAAGGCGACGACAAGCAGGTTTCAAATCAGCTGAAGGAGTTCATGGTCGTCGACGACGTTAGCAAATTGCTGATGCAGGTCGGCAGCCGATCTAGGAATCTGAAAAACACGCCAGCCCCGTCTGCGAAAGTGAAGATCTACAGGACAGTCGCCAAGATCGCCCATAGTTAAGACCCGTCCTCGCGTGAGCGTGAACGCGTGTTGCTTCTACACGAGTCCAAAGGTCACCCTTCGAATGAATGGAAGGGGGAGGGAGGGTTGGGAGGGGAGGCGGCGAATGGTTTTCAAAGAAGCGCGTGGTTGATGTTGTTGGGCCTGTCCTCGAAGCCACTCTATTTTTTCTCAGGCATGCCGAGTCCGCACGCAGGTGCACCCTCTGTTTCGAAGCTTAGAGAGAGAGAGAGAGAGAGAGAGAGCAGCCTTCGTAGAGCCTCATGCATGACCAAGGGGCTTATCTTCTCTTAGTGCTTCGAACGAGGCCGTGCAAGGAGGTGGTTCACACATTGGCAGCTGGCTGTCAGAAGCCCGTCGGGCAGCGCGCAGCATCTGCAGACACAGATGGCGACACCGACTGCCAGGAGTTTCACTGGCAGCAGGTGTGAGCGAGCAAAGCAGTTTTAGAACGGTTTGCCGCTCTTCACGCGCCATGCACGTGCGCGCGTGGCGTGTTTGCAGGCGCGCTCGCCTTTTTCCTGGCTTTTTTTACCCTTGAGACGTGATCCTGGGCTGAGATATATCCGCACAATGCGATGTCATCTCCACCGATCGTTGTTCCTCATTCCGTAGACTGGCTAACGGCGATGTAGGTAACGGCGATGTAGATTTCGGTGTTGTGGGAACGCGTGGCTCGCGCTCTCCTACAACTCGCTGTGTCGTGTCCGCTCGATCCATTCACAGATTGAGAATGTAGGAAAATGTGGTTCGTGATTTCATGTCCCACACTTTGGTTTCCAACATCACCGTTAAGCAACATCGCCGTTAGACCGGCCTTGGTCATTCGCCGGTTGTATTCGACCATCGTCATTTGCTGTTGATCGCCAGATGGTCGATCGGGCCGCTGCCGTCCTGCGTGGTTGGGCACCGGCGGGCGTCCTTGCCCGCGCGCTCTGGGGCGCCGTGTTGCACACCCGGTGGCCTGCGGTCCATCCCGCAAGCCCTGCTTGGGTCCCTCGGGGTGCCTCCCATCCCTCCCTCGTTCTCCTCGCCCGAGCCCTCCTCCTCGTCCCCCTCCTCCTCGTTCTCCTCGTCCCCCTCCTCCTCGTCCTCCAGGACGAGGACCGAGGTGCTCCCTCCCTCGTTCTCCTCGTCCCCCTCCTCCTGGCCCTCGGTCCTCATCCTCCCTCGGCCGCCTCGTGCCTGCCTCCTCTCGGGGGCGGGCCTCTTTTGGAGGCCTCTGGAAGAGGGGTCTTGGGCCGGCATCGCCAGAACCATCCGAAACCGGACCCGGACTGGGCAAGGCAGCTCTCCCATTGGGCGTCGCGTCATGGGGGGGTGCCAAATGGGCGGTCAACGAGGGCTGCAGAAAAGGGGGCCTCCAGGGCCCCCACAAGGGGCCCTTAGGGCCCAAAAGGGGCCCTTCAGGGCCCAAAAAGTGCACCTTTCTCTCCCCTCGTCAATCCCCCCATTCAGCGACGCCCAGACCTAGCATACCCCGTCTGTGTTGGGATGGGTGTTGTTGCACCATCCAGAGGGGGTGGTACCCATCCTCGCGTGGGGGAGCGCAGGCCGGTCGGCGGGGCCTTGCCTTGGTGGGGATGGTAATTTAGCTGCCTCGATATGCCCGTTTTGAAACTTAACACGTACCATGCTCAAAACGTCCGTTTCAATACGCTTCGTGTTGGCTCAACGAATTGGCGCACGTCTTGGCGAACGTATCGCGTCAGACCCACATGATCAGTCTACGTGTTGATTTTCGTATCAATGCGCTACGTCGTGCGTGTTGCGTATCGGGGCAGCTAAGGCCGGGTATGATATTTTTCGCCAGGCAGTCGGGGGCGGCCAAGGGGGGGTGATGACAAGGGGGGGGATTCTTCTCGACCCTGAACAAAGCTCAGAGTCTCGAAGGGCAAGAAACTGCATAAGCATGAGTTCTTCATCGTTGAGGTCCGCACGGGCTTCTTGGATCGGGCATCCCAGGGACCGTCGAAGGAGCCTCTTGGGCCCATCCTGAGCCCGTACTGGGGCTCTCTGGGGCCCTGGAGGCTGTCTGGGGCCTCAGGACCCTTTCGGGAGCGAAAAGCGGGACTGCGCACTTCATTGATGTTGGTTATGTTGTGCAAAAGTTGAGCCTCCTTCCAAGGGGCCCTCTAAGCGGCGTCCGGGGCCAGATGGGGCCGACTTGTCGGCGTTCTCGGCGTATCTTATAAGATTTGTGTTCACTTTTGTTGTGTCCTGTCTTGCCAGGTCTGGCCTCTGGGGCTTTCTTGGCCGCGTCTTGGGCCGTCCAGGAATCCACTCCGGGGCAATTTTGTGGCCATCCGTCGACTGGAGTGGCCCACTCGCCTTGCTGGGGGAACTCCATATTGGAATACCCCCCCGAAGCTTGCGTGGGGATCATGATTTGAATATTTCTGGAAGCTTTTTCGGGATCGTTGGGGCCGTCTTGGGGCCCTGTTGAGCCGACTCGGGGCCGCCTTAGGGCCCTTGGGGCGATATTGGGGACCTTTGGAGCCATTTCGGATGTCTGAAGACCGAGAAGGCAAGAGTGGCAAAGTCACGCGAAAGAAGACGGCACTGTATTTCCATGGGTTTGTGACTTCATTGGGGCCCTGTGTGACTTGCGAAAGGGTTGTTTCGAAGTGCGGCACGTTCGCAGAAGTTCAGTTGCCAGGTATGGCCAGGGCCGCGCGAGCCAGAGAGCTGTTCCTACTACTTACTGCTACTCCTGAAGCTTTTGATCTTCATCATGTTCCTCTTCATCGTTGTCTTCCTCCTCGTATAGCTCCTTGTCTGGCTTCTGCTCCTCACATCCCATTGCTTCTCGTCTTCGGCCGCTTCCGCGTCCTCAGCGTCACCCTCGTCGCCCTTGTCGTCCTCGGTCTGAGGCTGGCCCCCCCCACCTTTCCCAGGATGTGTTTAGAACGACTCATGATAATTGTGTTGGTTGAGACATACAACACATTGGGATACGCCTAACTCCTCAGAGGTCCGCGCGGATTTCTTGGATCGGCACTGGACCCCCTGGCAGCGCCTCCAGCGTCGCCCCCTGGCGCGCTCCATGCGCCAGGGAGGGGGCCAGCGCTCGATCCCAGCATTTCGCGTAGGACCTTTGGTAGTGTGTTTGTGTGTATCATGCTCTTGTCCTCGTCTATATCACTGGGGTCCAGCTCTTCTGCACAGCATGCGCTCCCTGCTTGTATGGCTCGAGCTTTTCGTTCACCTGTGCCGATGCGGCGATAACGCCACAGCAGATGCACGACTCCAGGCACAGGATCCTGTACGATTCCCTGACGGGCGAGGCGAAGCCCGACAAGCAGGAGGGTTTCCACGAGCTTCTCGAGAGACTTTCGAATGCCCACGACAGGGAGCTTCGAGGCACAGTGGATCAGCTGGAGACCGAGAAGCGGCAGGCGAGGGTGTTGCGGAACCAGTTGGCCAAGGAGCGCGCGAGGAGAGTCAGCGACGACGACCAGCTGAACGAGTCGTCGGGGGAGAGCAAGACGACTCCCGTCACTCAAGTCGCATTCGCCGAACTCGCTGCGAAGGGATCATCGGACGAGCTTGCGATTGTTGACTTGACGGCTAGTCCCAGTATGCTCCATATTCCAGATTGTGATGGCAAGTCGTTCCGCAATCAGGACCCCATTGCCGAGTTGGAGAGCGCTATCTTCGGTTCAGACGAGAAGCCAGAGGAGGAGGAAGATGAGGAACGTTTCCCGCCGCGGTCGCAGTACACGAAGGAGTTGGGAGACGTATGGGATACGAGCCGGCCAGTGACAATGACCCTCGGCCGTTTGACGCGCGCACCGTCTCGGCAGATGTCGCACCGCTTTTCGGAGTTTGCGCTTACCCATCATCCGTTCTTCATCGCGTCCCCCCGCAGCAAGACGCGGACCGCATGGGAGATCATGGGTGCTATCCTGATCTGTTGGGATTTGTTCGTCATTCCACTGACAGTCTTCTGCTACCCCATCAACGGCCTAGCGATTGCGATGGAGTGGATCACGCTGCTGTACTGGACTCTGAATGTGCCGCAGACTCTCACCGTGGGCTACGAGACTGCGCTGGGCACGGTGATGTCCCCTTCGTGTATTCTCACGAGGTACATGAAGGGGTGGTTCATCATAGACATGGTGGTGTTGGTGCCAGACTGGGTCGTCGTGGTGCTCAGTCTCGGCAGCGGGATGGAGCGGAACACGTCCTGCGACAGCGCCGTCGAGGGCACGGCGGCCGTCAAGCTGCTCAGGAACCTGCGCCTCGCGCGCCTCGTGCGGCTTACCCGGATAGCGCGGCTGAAGCGAATTTGGCAGCTGGCCAAAGAGAGGATCTACACGCTGACGTTCAGCATCGTGGCAAACATTTTCACGATGCTCTTGCTGCTGTTGACCCTGTGCCACTTCATCAGTTGTCTCTGGTACGGGATCAGCTATAACACGGGTGGCGACAGACGATGGTTGGTTCGTTACGAAATGGAGGGATTGAAGTGGAACTATTTGTACGCAACTTGCTTGCACTGGTCCCTGACGCAATTCACTCCAGCGCCCATGGATATTCAGCCGCAGAATATGCAGCTGCCTGCGGCAAGTCCCGCCAATGAGCCTGAACAGCACAAATTCTAGACGCGACGGCCGAATTGTGCGAAGGAGGGAGGAGGAGAAGGAGGAGGCTGGATGGATGGATGAGGGAGTGGGGAGAAGGAGGATGCGTAGGATGATGATGATGATGATGATGATGAGGAGGAGGAGGAGGAGGAGGAGGAGGAGGAGGAGGGCAAGCAAAAGGGCCAGAGGTCTCTTGGGTGCCTCTCGGAGCCTCTTGGGGTATCTTTTGGGCGCTTCTTGGTGGCCTCTTGGGACGTCTTGGGGGTCTCTTGGCGCTCCTGGGGGGCTCTGGGCGTCTTGGGTTCCTCTGGGGGGCCTCTTGGGGCCGCTTGGGGTCCTCTTGGGGGCCTCCTGGGGGCCTCTTGGGGGCCTCCTGGGCGCCTCTTGGGGCCATCTTGGAGCAAATCGATCAAAGAAGAGGGGAGTTTTTTTTAGCGTCGCCCCCCCAAGAGGCCAACATGGGGCCCAAACCGTAGTAAAACCAATGATTTTGGCTTCCTCGCCGAGGCCGTTTTGGACGCCTTGACCGCTCGCGACCGGCCCCGTCCAGGTCCAGGGAAAGGGGTAGAGGGGGAGGGGTAAACCCCTCCCCGAAGGAGAGGAAGGGGGGTGGAAGAGGACGCTCCCTAAACCACCGACGCCCAGAGGGCTGGTGGGATTTGACGACGCTGCGGCCACCCCCCAGAAGGTCGCAACATGTGAAGCCTCTCGTCTCTATTCCCTGAGGCGCTCTCAAAGCGGTCTTCAGGCTGTCTTGGCCTCCTGCGGGACTGTCTTGGGACTCTCTCTCTCTCTCTCTCTCTCTTCGGACGGTTATGGCCTCTCTTTGGCCTTGTTGGGCCGTCCTGGGCACCTCTCGGCTGTCTGGGGAATTTTAGGGGCCCGCTTAGGCAATTGTTGGGCCACTCTTGCTTTGTCCCCTGTGCCCCTCTTGGGCTGTCTTGGGGCACCCAGTATGGCCTGTTTGGGTGGGTTGTTGAGGCGCTCGCTGATCTATTTCGGCCTCTCGTTGCCTATGCCTTGGCCCTTGGTTGCATCTTGAGCCGAGAGCCGGGGAAAAGAAAAACAGTTTCACCCTAGTGAGATTGGCCTTCATTGAGGGCTTCTTGGCTTTTTCTTCTTTTAAATCGGAAGGCTCTTTGGGGCCCCTTTGGCGCCGCTTTCAGTTTTCTTGGTTGCCTCTGGAGGTCATGTTGGGCGATCTTGGCCACATTGGTGGCCTTCCTGGGCCGTCTAGGAAGCCTGGGAGAGCTTGGGAGGACCCCAGGGAGGTATCGGGTCGCCCACGGAGCTTCAGCAGGCGGTGGGGGGCGCCTGCAGAGACAGGACAGGACATCCGCACAAGGGGGTCAACGTCAACACACCTAGACTGGTGCCTCGCGTGCGTCTGGCAAAATCCCTTGTGATTTGGTTGTGCAACGGCCCTGAATTCTCACTAGGGCCGGCAGGGGGCATACCCCGAAGCTTCAAGGGGTGAGCTCCGAGGTGCTTAAAATACGTACGCAAATCCGACCAGGCAGGTCACAGGCATTCTTACACGCCCACATCGTGCAGATATTGGTGGTGGATGTCAGAACGTGTCTTCACGATCTCTGTAGTGGTCTCCGCCTTGGTGGGCTTCTCTTATGTTGTGGGTAGCATCACGGGGAGCCTCGCGCAACTCCGGAGTCTCAAGGAGGAAGAGTCAAAGCAGTTCTGGGATTTGCGGGTGTACTTGAAGAAAAACCATGTGGAACACGTCCTCGCCGTTCGCGTTCAACGCTACCTCCAGCACGTGTGGCAGTATCAGGCTTCCCACAAAACTTATCAGCAGATCAAGATTTTGACGATGCTGTCAGAACAGCTAGAGAATGAATTGCTGTTCCAACTGCATTCGAATCACCTGACCGTCCACCCGCTCGTGGAAAAGCTGTTGAAGGTGTCGAAGGTGACTGCTTTTAGATTGGCGAAAGAGGCTGTTTCCACCAAGCACGTAGCAAAAGATGACCCCGTCTTCATACACGGCGAAAAACCCAGCCATATGTACATCGTCATGGAGGGTCAGTTCCAATACAAGCGCGTAACCTCCGCGGGCGACGTCGTTCGTGAGGTGGTCGATAAGGGCGAGGATTGGATTGCGGAGCCTGTGCTGTGGTCGACAGAGTGGTACCATTTGGGCGACTGCACCGCAGCCGATCAGAGCAGCTTGATGTTGGTGAGCCCCCAGCAGTTCTGCAATGAAGTGCAGCGCAACCCGACAGCCTGGATTTTGGTCACGACCTATTGCAAGAATTTCTTGAAGTGGTTGAACTCTGCAGACCCCGACGATCTCTCTGACATTACCCAAGGCGACAACAAGGATGTTTCGACGCAGCTGAAGAACTTCATGGTTGTCGACGACATGAGCAAGCTGCAGATGCAGCTAAGCCTTCGGTCCAGAAGATGGAAAACCAGTCCGATCAAAGGGCCGTCTGCCAAGACTATCATCATCAACACCGTAGGTAAGATCGCGAATCGTAGGGGGTCTACCGACTCTGCATGACAATCGATGCGAGCTGATGCATATTCATTGAGCTCATGATCCATCAGCGAGTCCGAGTGCACATACTACCGTGAGGATAGAGGGCGGGAGGGAGGCACAGTGCGAAGGGCGGGAGCAGGCTGTCTTCGAGCAGTCACGTGGCCGACTTTGATGGCGTCGTTGTTTGTTTCCTAAGTCGCATCGGCCGCCGCCAGGCCAATCTTGCCGTGGCACTAGGTGCTAAGAGTTTGATTGGCACCAGGCGCGAGTGTACAAAGCAGTTGTACACTGCCCTGCGGTTTTCCACACGTCATGCGCGTCAGCGCTGTTCGTGTATGTTCATGTGCTATTTGTCTCCCAACGCTTATGCTTACCCTTGCGATTTGATTGCGGAGCGATCGTCGCGAATCATAGTTTCTCCACCTCATGCGCGTCGGTGCTGTCTAGTTGGCGCGCTCGCCCCACCTCTGGGCTTGTTCTGACCCGTGCGATTTGATCGTGGAACGATTGTCGCGAGTCATATGGTCGGGTATTCTTGGATGGCGTGTCGTTCCGCCGGTTCTGGCCCACCACGCCTCGGCGCCACACGTTGTCCACTTCCTGGCCCCACAGCGTCAATGTTCCGAGCCTTCCCCATCTCCCCGCCCCGGGTAGCGGAGCGATACGCTACTCCAGATTTCGTAATAACAGGGAGGGGGTCTGGACCCTCCAAGACAAGCCATTTCAGACCCCCCCCCGTGGGAGAACCCTCCAAAACATCGTCCCCAGACCCCCCAGGCCCTCCAAGATAGCTTGGAAGAGACCCCCCCCGAAATGAGACCCCCCTCCCTTTATTACGAAATCTGGAGTACCCGCTCGCAGGGCATAGCCTGTCGCCAGGGCCGCCGCGGCGACGCGCGAAGCAGCAGCTCCTGACCGTGGTTGCCCCGCGCTCGGCATTTTGGCATGCGTGTAGACGCGCTCGCCTGTTCCCAAGGTTGCCTCTTGCCCTTGCGATTTGATTGTGGAACGATCGTCGCGAATCCTGATGGTGGAGCGCCTTCTCTAGAGAAAAGCGTCATCGACATCGATCGTCGCACACATTGCCGATAATAGGGTGGGCCGTCATCATTCGTCGGCAGCCGATGGTCGATCAGAGCCGCCGAGGCTGTCTTGCATGTTGGGCGCTACCAGGCGCCGTCGTGCGTTCTCGAGAGTCTTCTGTCACAGTTGGACCTCATCCACGGAAAGTTGTCAAGATCATGACACTGAGGTGGGCGTCTTTCAGCACATGGCGAGATCTCCAAGCACACGTATCACCCGCAGAGTTATTCCTTTTCTTCGCCCGCCGTTCATCCTCCGCCCCGTCGCCACTGTCGAAAACGCCTTCGGCGAACCACTAGCGCCCCCTGCCATTTGGAGACACTGAATTCTGTGGCCAAGCGTTGAGCCGAAGTCCTGCCCAGCTATTTGGCTATGTGCTTACCCAGCCGTTGTGGAAACATGTGGGAGAACACCTAGGGGAGAAAGAGGGAGGAGGAGGATGAAGAGGAGGAGTAAGAGGAGGGGGAGGCGAAGGCGGAGGAGGAGACGGAGGAGGAGGAGGAGGAGGAGGAGGAGGAGGAGGAGGAGGAGGAGGAGGAGGAGGAGGAGAGAGGAGAGAGGAGAGAGGAGAGATGAGAGAGGCAATCGAGGTGCGCTCGCGTCATGTCTGGCATCCTGTCCCTCCCTCCCATCCCTTCCCATTGCGTTGAGTTGTCTTTATCCGCGGACGCGTGTCATAGCCGACCTGCAACTCCAACAAGAAGACCACATCGTGTTATGCGTAGTCGGATAAAAGGGGAGCTGCGTGCACAGGAGGAGGAGTAGGTGGCGGGTGAGCAGGAGGTTGAGCGGGAGGAAAAGGACAAGGAAGAACAGCAGCAGCAGCAACAGCAGCAGCAGTTCATGGAGTGGAGGGAGCGGGAGGAACAGGAGGACCAGGGGAAGGCGGAGGAGGGGAAATGAGGAGAGCGACAATTCTGAAGAAACATTCGGATTCAGAAAAGTGTCCCGCGCTAGGGCGAGAGCGCCTTTCTGAACGACGAAAGCAAAGCGACGATCGGAAAATAAGGCCCACGCTGCAGCGGGAGCACAACATTGTAGCATTGGCAACAATCGCATAAATAGCACGCGGAGAGGGCGACTATCTTCTTGGCGGAGTCACTGGAGAGAGGCGAGTAGCGCTCATAGTAGTTACTTGTAGAGAGGAGAGGGGAGTGAGGCAAGCTAGGTTCGCTCGCGCGCCATATCTGACATCCTATCCCTCCCTCCCAGCCCTTCCAGTTGCATCGAGTTCTCTTTATCCGCGAACGCGTGTCACAGCCGACCTGGGACTCCACGAGAGACCCCATCGTGTTATGCGCAGTCGGAGAACGCAAGTCCTCTTGTGGGACCCGAGTTTCCTCTGTGGCTTGTGGGGCCTGTGAGACTTGCGGCACCTGTGGGATCTGTGACCTGTGGGGAGTGTGGGCCCTGCGAGACCTGCGAGACGTGTTGGACCCGCAGCACCGGTGAGACATGCGGGACTGGTGGGACCTCCGCGACTCGTCGGACCTGCTGGACGTGCTGGGCATGCTGAGATATGTGCGACACCTGCGGGGCGTCTAGGGCCTGTGGAGCCTGTCAGACCAGTGGGATGTGCAGTGCTTGTGAGAGGGACTTGCGAGACCCGTGAGATCCAGAAAAGCAGCCCACGCTGGAGCGGGGTTACCACTCTGAGCAACGGGGGCACATTGTCGATCCGAACACCGGAGGAGGACGAGGACGTGGACGAGGACGGAAATAAGGATGAGGAGGAGGAGAGGGATGAGGAGGAGGAGGAGGAGGAGGAGGAGGAGGAGGAGGAGGAGGAGGAGGAGGGGGAGCCTCGGCTCGGTACGAGCGCAGGAGGGGGAGCCTCTGGGGTGGGGGGGCTCTGAGGGCCTCTTGGTGGCCTCCTGGAACTTCCTGGAGGCCTCTTCGGGGCATTGGAGGTCTTCTGGGGGGGCCTCCGGGGGCATCTGAGCTCTGAGGTCTTCTAGGTGCCTTTTAAGGGGTCTCATGGCCTTCGGAGGCCGTCTTTGGGATGAGGAGCAGGAGCAGGAGCAGGAGGGGGATGAGGAAACCTCTTGGTGTTTCCGAGGGCTTCCTGAGGGCCTCTTGGACACCAGTTGAACTCAGACCCAGCTGAACTCGGACCAGGGCTGAACTTGGACCCAGGTGAACTCGGACCCAGGGTGAACTCGGACCCAGAAAACTCGGACCCAGCTGAGCCCGGACCCAGCGGACCTCGGACCCAGCTGGTCTCGGACCCAGCTGAACTCGGACCCAGCGGAACTCGGACCGAGGCCCGCCCTGCAGCGGGAACGCTTGGGTCCGAATTCAGCTGGGTCCGAGTTCAGCCGGGTCCGCGATCAGCCGGGTCCGCGATCAGCCGGGTCCGAGTTCAGCTGAGTGTCCGAATTCAGCCAGGCCCGAGACCAGCCGGGTCCGAGTTCAGCGGGTCCGAGATCAGCCGGTTCCGAGTTCAGTTGGGTCCGAGTTTCCGGGTCGGAGTTTAGCCGGGTCTGAGTTCAGCCGTCGGCTGAACTCAGACCCGCCCGCGCTCGAGGTCTCGCTTGCAAGCGCCGGCGAGACGTCCCCGTCACCGCGGGCGGTTGTGGAGGATAAGTATGGTAGGTGGCATTGGCGCCTTGAGTTGCAGGTGGTGACACATGAGCGTTGAGGTGGAGGTGCGGGCCCCGCCCCCCCCGTGGGCCGTCTTCGTCGGCCGAGGGACCGCATGGGGGGGCGAGGCCTCGACCCCCTCCAGCGCAAATTGCCGGCAGAATTGAAGGTTGATTGCTGGGGACACGATGGGACATTTTTCGAACAATCGTGATAGCCCTCTCCCAGTGCCTCCTCTCATCGTTCAGGGCATTTCACTTTACATTTCTGGCAGCTTTGGGGTGCGTAGGTGCATTTTCGGTCGAACCAACACTTCGACGAACCATAGCAACGCATGCGTCGGTACGGTTCTCCCAGTAGTAATTTTGCTGTGGTTGTCCGTTCTGGGCCCCAGGACCTGCGGATCGAGGTCCGGGATAACCCACAGTGGAATTTCCCTGGATCTGGAGGTCCAGGGCCCTCCTACAGCTCACTTTCCGCCCCGGGCACCTTTTCAGATATATTTTCTGAAAAGGCACTGCGTGCGTATTTTGAGAGCGGTTTTCCCTTGAACCTGAGGCGCTCTGCCTGGCAGCGGGCATCGTCCCCAGGGCGCTCCGGTGGGACAGAACACGGCCACGTGTCCCGTCTCATTTCAACCCTGTATACCACTGCGCTGTTGCTAGTTTTTCAGGTCCGACCGAGACGTCGGCGTTGTTTCTCCAGCGCTGGCGCAAAACGCACTCGCACCCTTGAATCCGCCACCGACCGACACGAGAAGCGAGTTTGTGTTAGTCTCGATTCGTGGTTGCGTGAATTTTTGGGCTGGCCGCCACATCCGCTGCGCCAGCAGCGCTACCTTGTATGCTCGTTATCGGTTTTCAGACATCTGGAGTTTGTGGTTGAAGCGGGCTTCATAGTGAAATCTGGCGGACACACTGGGGGGTCTCTGCAGTGGGGTACCTCATGAACGACAGTTTCCTCGAGTTCCCTTGCGGGGCCTCTCCAGAGGAATGAAACCGAAAGCGACCCAGAGAGAGCCGTGGCCGCTCCCGGGAGCTCCGCTGGCAGCGCTCCCAGCGCCCCAGCCGACTCGCAGTGGGAGCAGTGGAGCCCTTTCGAGGACAGCGGCGAGTGCGAGTGCGGGAGGACCAGGACCGAGTCCGAGGAGTCCGAGGCGAAACTCATCGTCGCAGCGACGAGCGAGGTCTCACGAGGTGGGGTCCTCAAGTGATCGGGCGGGTCTTGACGAAGTGCGGGCGCTTCTGGAAGTCCAGACCATCGAGACGCGGATCGTCGAGGTGGCCCAGGCGCGACGTGCTGAGCCGTTCTGGGGAGCCAGATCTGGACTTCCTGAGCGGGCGGGCAACAGGTTC